ATGTGGAAGATTTAGCAACGGCGGCGGAAAAGGCTGCAAGAAAAGGAAACATGAGACAATTGTATGACACGACAAAGAACGATCAATTGAATGGAATTCATCACTCTACATCAACTTCATTGACTAAGAAAAAGCACTTGATAGTGTGGAAAGAACAACACTATGGAAACTTCTTCGACACTACGCCCAGCCTCGGAAGATAGTCAATATCATACGGAATTCCTATGATGGATTAAACTGCAAAGTCGTGCACGGAGGACAGTTGACAAGCTTGTTCGAAGTAAAGACCGGTGTTAGGCAAGGTTGCTTACTCTCACCCTTCCTCTTTCTCCTGGTGATCGACTGGATCATGAAGACGTCAACATCTGAAGGGAAGCACGGGATACAATGGACATCTAGGATGCAGTTGGACGATCTAGACTTCTCAGATGATCTGGCCCTTCTATCGCAAACGCAACAACAAATGCAGGTGAAGACGAACAGTGTGGCAGCAGCCTCAGCAGCAGTAGGTCTCAATATACACAAAGGGAAAAGCAGGATTCTCCGACACAACACAGCATGCACCAATCCAATCACAGTTGACGGAGGAGATTTGGAAGATGTAAAAACCTTTACATATCTGGGCAGCATCATTGATGAACAGGGTGGATCTGATGCAGATGTGAAGGCGCGGATCGGCAAAGCAAGAGCAGCATATTTACAACTGAGGAACATCTGGAACTCAAAACAACTGTCAACCAACACCAAGGTCAGGATTTTCAATACAAATGTCAAGACAGTTCTACTGTATGGGGCAGAAACCTGGAGAACTACGAAAGCCATCATCCAGAAAATACAGGTGTTTATTAACAGTTGTCTACGCAAAGTACTTCGGATCCGTTGGCCGGAAACTATTAGCAACAACCTACTGTGGGAGAGAACAAACCAGATCCCAGTGGAGGAAGAAATCAGGAAGAAGCGCTGGAAGTGGATAGGACACACATTGAGGAAAGCACCCAACTGCGTCACAAGACAAGCCCTCACATGGAATCCTCAAGGCCAAAGGAGGAGGAGAGGAAGACCAAAGAACACATTATGCCGGGAAATGGAGATAGACATGAGAAGAATGAACAAAAGTTGGATGGAATTAGAAAAGAAAGCCCAAGACAGAGTGGGTTGGAGAATGGTGGTCGGCGGCCTATGCTCCATTGGGAGTAACAGGCGAAAGTAAGTCAGTAAGCTTGTATGAAATATGTATGCTTGAACATTGCTTACCGCCTACGCATATATTCATTCTGCTAGCTTTATTATTAGCTGCTTAATTGATTCAATGATCCATTCATTTCCATATATAAATATGCATGTACATTTAACACTCTACACTCTCGGTTCGCTGTCTCACTCATTCGCCTCACTGCTTTGTGGTTTGAGTTATCTGGTAATAAAACTGTAGTCGCTGCTTCTCTTTGCCTTCTGAGTGCAAACACCGTTGAGGATTATATGATAACGGTTACGAGGGTGATTGGTTAACGAAGCACAACCACTACAGTCTCCTAACTCGTAAAGGTTTATTTCCCAATCGTTGATAATCAGGATTGAATTTGTTTTAATCACTGTTGGCAACATATTTACCATGATTTTATGGCCCTCAAATGCCCTGGTACGGCTGAGGGTGGGGAGAGTCAGCTCTCCCTCTCGAAATGCTCTCACATGGCCGCGCGTATACAGCCAATGCCAGGGAAGTCCTACTTACTGCGTTCTTGCGGTGGTGTTGTTTCCGGAATTGAGAGAACGATAAGCGAACGTCCGGCGCTTTAACCGGGTCGGTGGACAGGGAGACTCCACCTAGGGGAGTTGTAAAACTCGGATTGCAAATTAATAGTGCACATGGGCTCCAGGATCCTAAAGGAAAGGATGGTGCATGAACCAATTGTTGGTGACTGGTTACCATGGGACTTCATCTCCTGATGTTGATCCACTGCCTTGTGGATTAGACCTTCAGGTCAAAGACTTGGGGATTGACCTCCCAAGAAAACCTCCTGCTTTGATTTGGGAACCTGGGTCGTATCACAACCCACACACAAATCAATGATAACTACGACTGGGAAACTTTCTCTTGCTTCAACGCTTGCTGAGAAAAATGTTATTCACAATCACCTAATATTCGTTTTTATTTCTTTTATACTACGCCACTTATGTATTCCTCTTTATTCTCATTTTGTGTATTTTATTTTTTAACTTATACAATAGCTCGCCTATGGTGACGATTCTATTTCATCTAAACGATATCGAGTCACTGACTGGTCGAAAGTTGAGTGCTACCACCAAATACGAATACTGAAACAGTCTTTCTGAAACCACGCATACCATTCAAAATAGTCTCCTTCAACGTTCGCAAACTAATGCAGATCGGATAACAGATAGGGTTGGTCACAGGTTGGAGAATTGATTGCAGCTTCTGTTGCAACTAAACATCAAACTAAGCTAGGTTCAAGGATGGGTAACATCTTACCGTAAATTATAGATGAGTATTGGTTGCAGTTGCATAACGCCATGAAAATCGCGAGTAAAGTCTCTTGTGGCTTCACGAAACGTCCCTCGTATAAGCACTTTGTTTCTTCAGGCTCCTTACAACTCATTGAAGCACGTCGGTCTACTCCGGATGACCGTGAGATTGACCATAAACGACGATTGTTAAGTAGTAATGAAATTGGACAAAGCTTATGTGAAAACCGAGAAGCCTGGTGGTCGGAGCGTTACAATGAGTTGGAAGCAGCAGCTGCATCTGTCAATTTGCAGATCTTTCAACTCATCCGAGCCATTGACAGCAATAAGTCTGGTGTGAGTGAAACAATCCGTGAAGATGACGGGATGCCAATCGCTAACATCTATAGACGTCTTGATAGATGGGCAGTTTTTCGAGGAGCAGTTCAACTGACCTTTTGCCCCGGCGACATCGATCGAAGTTTCCTGCCCTTTGTGGCCTGGGACGACTGATTCACTTAGCCAGATAGACGTCCGCAAAAAACTCCAACTCTTGAAGCGCTACAAACCACCGGGTCCATGTGACTTACCTACGGTACTTTTAAAAGATGGTGGTGACTTTCTGGTCAAGGAGATGTCTGAGTTAGTTACAATGCTCTGACAATTAGACAGTGCTTCAACATCATGGAATTAGTCGATAGTTGTCCTTATCTTTAAAAAGGGTTCTGTAACAACTATCGAGGGATAAGTACACTTCCAACTGAGTCCAAACTATTGGCTTTAGTCATACTTCGTAGATTGTTCAAAACCCGAGAAAGATTGACTTGCGTGGAGCAGGCTGGTTTTCGTTCCGGTCGAGGATGTATCGATCATATCTTCACCCTCCACCGAATGTTAGAACACAGTCATACTTATCACAGGCCAAGAATCATGTGGATCTGTTTCCTGGAGGAAGACATCTCGACCTTGAGTATGCGGATGATGTCTTACTATGCGATAACACCCAAGCCATGCAATCCGCAATTAGTGTCCGTAGATACAGTATGTGGTTCGCACATTCGAAGTGCAAAGTACTTCTACAAGACTGGCAGGATCCTAATCCTGTACTCACCCTGGATGGTGAGCAGATAGACGTAGTCGAGAAGTTCGTGTATCTGGGCAGCTGCATAAGTGCTGGTGGTGGCGTGAGTGATGAGATCAATGCACATATAGTGAAAGCCAGAGCGGTTTATGCCAATCTGGGTTATCTTTGGCGCCTTCGTGATGTTAGTCTGGCTGTAAAAGTTCGAATCTACAACGCGTCGATGAGAGCAGTTTTGCTCTATGCTTGTGAAACCTGGCCTCTCCGAGTTGAGGATGTTAGACGACTCTCTGTGTTTGATCATCGTTGTCTCCGAAGGATTGTTGACATCAAGTGGCAACACCATGTTAGTAATGCAGAGGTTCGGCATCGTGTGTTCGGGCACAGAGACGATAATTCAATTGATGTCACTATCTTGAAACATCGACTTCGGTGGCCTACTCATGCTCTGCGAATGTCGTTCCAGAGAATTCCAAGTCGTGCATTGCTTACCGACGCTAGGACTGGTTACAAAAAGCGGTGAGGTGGTCAGTGTATGGTATTGTGTTGAAGCATGAAAGAATGCTGTAAATGACTGGCTTCTGTTGGTCCTTCACGACTTCCTAATCGAAGTCCTAGAGATGGTGTAGCACAGTGGTTTGAAACACTATCAGACATGGCTGAGAATAGAAACCAGTGGCGATCCTGTGGTAACTTGTTTTACTTCCTTCATAAAAGTGAGCGCAACTTCTTTAACTGAAAGGAATCTTTCTGGTTGTATTTTTACTAACTGAACTGTTTCTCCCACTATTATTATTATTTCACCCTCATACACTAATTTCTGTTTGTTGTTGTTATTCTCTATATCATACACACTTTACATTCTGTATCTCCTCACACTCGTGGTTATTGTGTGGCACATATATATTTGGTGCCCCCTTGTACCAATGTTTGTGTGTTCAAATGAATAATGAAAATTGCTTTTATCTACAAATTTTTTTTATGACTTTGCATTATACTTCGCAACATAGTCAAGGGTGAAGGTTCTTATCTTATTTACGATTCGTCAACTAAACGTCCTTGTATCTTAGTGTTCATATGTACACTCAAACTTAGAAAATTATCGCTCTAAATTTAAATGCTTCATTCATTATGCTACTGAATTCAGATGGCTTATAAATTGTTCAACAGGCATGACAAGAGTGGATATTCTTTTCAAGTACCAAGTTGGTAATATTATGTATATATAAATACAAGAAAACGTAATAGCTCATAGGAAACATGTAAATATGTACATTAAACAAAGAAAAAGAAAGTTAAGTAAATAAAGTGCAGAACAGTTTGTCGGTTTGAATGACTTCAATGATCAACAGGATAGAAGAAAAAACAAAATCAATAAATAAGAAAACACTAGGCAAACAACAGAAGTACAAAAATAAATTAGAGGAAAAAGGAATTACATAAGCATAGATTTTATTCATTGATTAGATGACAAACAGTGAGTGTGAACAACTTGGTTTTTAGGAATAAGCCAAGCAAAGCTACCAGATGGACCATATACACAAATTGATTGATGGCATACAGAACACAAAGTATCATCTTTAATTAATAGAAAATGTGATTTGTTAGGGAGATCAACAATAGATAATTTCGCATTATATTTAGTCAAACCATATTCTAACTGAAGTTCTGACCATTCTTGTAGAGTAGATCGAAATGCACTATGTAAAAATGGTTTGATTTCCAGAATGCTCCATGTTGATGGAAAACGAGATAATAACTGGAAGAAAAATAACAATACTTAATGTTTCTTTTTCAAAGGATATGATTAATTTGAAGATAGTTTTCGTAAAAAAAGTCTATATCAGGTGAAAGAGACACTGAAAACTGGAAAACATTAAAAACAAAGTTTTCACTGTACCTTTGTCTGACAAACAGTCAGTAATTTTGAGTTTGTGATTACTGTAAGATCAATGAACCTTATATTAATAACCAAAACACACTTGTATGAAAGATTACAATAAGAATTGAAACTTTATTACTCTGATATCCAAGTAGATGTAGCTAAATATTAAATTGTCCTTCGAATATATCAAAGTTAAATTTAGGGGGTTTGATGATAGAGGATTACGTCTATAGGTCCTGAGGACGATTTTACACATTGTGCACATAGTCCGCAGTTAACTCAGAGCAAATCAAGATGAGAATTATGCTTATGTCATTTCTTAGTATAGATAGACCATTAGCAACTAAGAAAAGAAGTTGAGCAAATAGAAAAACCCTAGAGTCTTAGTTAAATCAAACAGGGAAATTCGTTTAAGTGAAAAGCAACAAATCAAAGTAGAGTAGGAACGAAGTAGACGATCAATTTAAGTATTATTAAATAAATCTATGAATGTCTATCAGGCATTCACGAATTTAAGTAATTACGAGTACTAAGATGAAATTAATTGTTATCATGTCTAGGATCAACAATATTGACTCATTGAATAAAGCAACATGAATGTATTATTATAACAATTCTAACATATATGACATAGAAAAAAAGAGTAACTAATTACCTTTGAATAATTAAATTTTAAATCAGGATTATTCAGAAGATTCAAAATCATTTTCTTTATATCTTTAGAATTGTTCTCGTTAGTATGAAGTCTATTTAAACAGAGACAAACAAACAGGGAGGAAAACGAATACATAGAAACAAATGAAAAAGAGACATTATAATGTCAAAAGTTTTCAATTCACTGTTTTTAATTGTTAAACTTTTGAGTAATTTAATAGATTGGAGATAAATTTTCTTTAGAAATTTTCATAGTGTAAAAATTCCTAACAACACAAATAAATGAACAAAATTGTTTCCCATTGGATATTTATCCAGCTTCACACCAAATATAGCATAATTTTTATGTGCATGTATGAGAAAGGTAGAGATCAGTTAAAGCAATTTCTGAATTAATGATAATTATCTGTATACTTAAACTGACTATTCATACATTTATTAGTACGTAATTTTCAGTCATTAGTATTTTTAGTATAAGGGAGTTTATGGAGATGGCGATGATTTTAATTATTTAAATCACGAATTAATATTAGCTAGATCACCATTGAAAACAAGAAAGGACTGAACTATTATTTGATTCAAACGTGTGACTACTTAGCAGCGCGCTCAGAGTTCGCATGTAGGGCCAACGTTCTAGGGTTCGATTTCGTATGGAAGGGTATTAGAATCACATTATTCAGTCCCATATTAAGACGTAACAGCTATTCAGTTATTTTTAGTCTTTAAGAATAATAATTATTTTGATACATTTATCATTGCAAACTTTGACCTACTTCTTAAGTCAGTATTCTTATTCATATTGCTACTTTGTTTATAATATTTTATTTATTACTAAACCTGTCAAACAAGCAGTTATGTAAAACGTTTTCATTGTTACAATAGACCAACATATTGTGTTGACTGGTTCAATATTTTTAATACATCCATGTAAAAATTACATTAAAGTCTGATGAAGTGTTTAATTGAAAATATTGTTCGTATATGTGTGTTGTTCTGACTCGATCGACGTTACAAAACACTTTCATTTTCGAAGTGTTAAATTTTCACGTAACAAATAGATAGAAACTATAAATTTCTGTGATTTTAACAAGATTTATGATTTAACGTAGATGAAAAATGAAAGGGATTTGGCGCATAAAATTTTATATTCAACAATATCATTTAATTGAACTTTACAGTCATATTTATGGTTAGTTTTTACTTATAAATTATAACAAAATAGAAGAGTGTTACGTTATTTCAACTCAAAGGAACCACCATTCAAGGGTATCTACAAAGTTGCAAAAACTGAATTAAGAGTTTGGATCAGAAATTTGTACATTTCTGAGGAATTGTCGGTTCACCAATTCAACCCCGATCTTTGTGTTCACGAGAGACATATTTATTACGTTATTGCACCATGATCTTAGTACCACTTCTAATTTTACAAGTTATTATTGCGAAATTCTTTCGTCCTTCATATTCCTGATATTCATGAAGTGGGTAATTTTCCCATACATCTTTATATAAACTACTACTTATTACTATTATGTAACTTATATCTCACACTTGAAAAATACGGATAATTTCTGATAACATGACTAAATAATGTAACACGTAATTCAAATATGTCCTTCATTATGAACTGTAATCAAATAAAAAATGGCAAAAACCAAGAAGCACTCGATAACTGATTCATCTCAGTTTGAGATTAATTTATAAAGAATATTCGCGATCCTACATGAAACGGAAACAAAAATCGTCACATCTCTCAGTGAAAAAGGCACCACTGAATAAACGAGTTGAAAACCAATAATTCACAGTTTTAACTACAGGTGATTCGCACACCATAACACAATACTAAAAAATAGCTGTCTCAACAAACTCAATACAACACAACATCCCACTAAGTAGAAACAATTATTCGATTATCATTGATTTCTAATGGTTATTCACCTGATGCTAGTAGCGTTGAAACTTTAGCTCAATGGAATCTCATAGACTGCTTACAACTTATAACATCCACGTACTAAATTACTTAATATTTTACAGATCACAGAGTATTTAGGATATAACCAAACTTGAATATTTCGACATTTATGTTTTTGGAGTCTACTTACTTACGATTTCTACGTTTTCTGATTGATCTGTCAATTCATTTAACAAAAATCAGATCAAATATTTGCTCCAGGACTACTTACTGTAATGTATGAAGTGATATGAATTCAGTAAGAGATATAAAAAGTAGGGGTAGATGTAGTTAATCATTTTATTCACTGGTTTTTCGTGAACCACATAAATTCCAATGAAATCAAAATTATTCAAAAATGCATATTAAAAGTAACAATCTATTAATTACTTTGTATAAATACAATTTTTGAATAAAAACTCATGACAATGGTGAGACTTTTTCTGTAAAACTGTTGGGATATTCAGGAAAATATCCCAAAAATTATCCTGTTAAGCCTAATGCTATCCTTGGACATGAAATGGTATCATCTTATTGGTCAATATTTATTTAACGTGTCATTTTCCTACTGGCCATTATTGTACAATGTTATTTTCTATTTTATGGTACGTTGCGGTCTGCTTGACTGGTATATAAACAAAGTATGTTTGAAATATAATGATTCATATCTCCGAGGCTGTGACTTGTGTTCTGGACTCAACTGGCTGAGTTAGACAGGGAAGCGGGACCAATCAGAACCCTAGGTCGTTCTACGTGTTTGCGCGTCTTTGGTCGGATCAATAATTCGCTATCCCTTTAATCCGCAGCATTATTTTTCACAGTTATGACAAAAACGTATACTAGTTTCTTTTGGACTTGATAACGAAATAATTGATCAATATAGTCCAACTACTTTTGGAAGCCACAGATATCACAACTTATGGAAACTGAACAAAAATTCAAATGACTATTCCAGTTATCGCTATCATTCTTATTATCTTTCAATTCATTAGACTACACTTGTAATTCCGTTCATTAAATTTGTATTCTGAATATTCTGACCTAATAATCTTAATTTACTTTATTGATTTTGTCGAGATGTTTTTGTGGTATTTGTACTAATCGATGATTTCTTTTGTACGCGATTCTACGGTTGAGCTGATTTTCAAATACAATATTTCTAATTGTGCTCACTGTAATCTCAATGATTTCGATACTGGTATATACAGTACTCCTGGTCATTACGAATTCCATTATTTCCAAACACTACAGTTTAACAACTGGAAAGTAATTTTTATTATGCAATGGATGATCAGTAAAAACTAAACGGTATTGAAAGTGTATTTTGTTTTAATTTGATGCTCCTCAGTGGTGCATATCCACAACTAATCTTAGGATTGAACATATCATTTGAAATGAGTACAATATTACCCAGTCACAGAGTTGAGCAAACAGACCATGGTATCATAAAATAACCCCAAGAACTCATAATCGACCCTAATCAGCAGTTAACACACAATTAATATTCATCATAATGATTTAATAAAGCTTGTAGACAGTTTTTAAGTTATTCATGAGAATAAATCAAGTTTTAAAAACCCTCCTACATATTATTATTATGAAAATATTAATCCATAAATAGTAAACTATAATTTAAATCAAGTCAAATTCTTACCTATCAAGACAGATTTCAACAAATGTTGTAAATAACAAGGAGGATATTGATTGATTACTAGAATCACCTTCCATAAATTCAAACTGGTCCCAATGGTGATAAGTACCAAGTGAATTTACTGCTATTGTATTACATTTTACATTAGTATCATTGTTACGTGCACTACAATGAATAGGTTGTTGACGGCTGAATGTAAGACAATAGTACAATGCGGCTTTATAATCATTTACATCTTCAATAAGATATTTTAAAGCCTTCACATGATTATTGGCCTGATTAAAAAGATTTTTTCAACAACAAAAAAGGCTAAATATTAAGAAACTCATGTTGTTGAATTGAATAAATATGTAGGTTTAAGTAAATGGCTTGCGAAATGTAAATCAAACCGACAATTTTTAATTAAGAAATGAAATCGACTGGGGAAATTTTTTAAAAAAAACAGTAGTCTACGAAACTGAAGGTTCTTTATTTCAATGTCATGTACAGCCGCAGATTTGTGCAATGTTAGGCAGACGCATAATATGAAAGAGTTGATCAAATGACTCTGGATTTGAATCTCTATCTAGCTGAAGTTAGTCAGCGACAAAAATTATCTTCAGATGTATAAAAGATGCTGAGTGCCGAAAGTAGATATCATCTAGGTTTTTTGATTGTTTTTTAACTGCTAGATTAAGACTAGAAGGTGAAGACATCATATGTTCCTCTCATGATTCGAATTTTAGAAATACTTGACAAAGGAGTTGATGATTTTATCTGTAAACTAATAGGATTGTAAGTGAAATCCTATCAAATAAGCGTTTCAAAAATACAAATTCAAATAACAAATGGCAAAATATCCATTTTATTTATTTGAACTCGTACACAATGACATAAATGGGGATCAAAATAAATATGGGCCATATAAGTCAGAGTATGAGATAATGAAGGGATAAATGAACAAGGGTGAATATAATCAGATACCAATAAATGAATAGCAGTGAACGAGATTAGTATGTTATCGGATGAGCAGTTCAGTACATAAAAGTACAACAAGGAATCTTTCCAGTTAAAAAAGTTCTCACTTTCATATGAAAAAGAAAGATAAATTACATCAGGACTGACACCAAAGTCTATTTTGAGCCACATCTGATAGTCTCAAGTAACTAGATTGCACCATCTCTCAGACCTCAATCAGAGAATTATAAAGGATTGAAAGATCCCAGTCGTGTTCAGTTTTGTTTTACACCCGGGCATCATGTCATAAACTGACCACTTCTCCACTTTTTCTAACCAGACCCCATCTCGGCAAATAAGGTATACTATGACTCTAATACCTAAATTTTCACACACATTTAATCGGTCATTGGCAATTCATTTTAATGTTTTTAATCTTTAGTCATTTTTTATTAACACCATGTTTTTTTTAATTTAGACATCCTTCTTATATTCCTTAAGTGGATAATTATCCTTCACACATTTGGTCTTATCTTAGTATTACTCTTTTACTTCTCGATCATTAAACTACCTTATATCAATCCATGAAGTTGTGTACTACTCTTCATATTTTTCGACAGACTAAGTTGGGTAGTAAGCTTAAGTAAGCAAGCAACATAGACATCAAAAATTCAAACCACCACTCCTTGGCACGTTGATAACTTCTCAGCATAAAAGAATCGTTTATTAGCATAATATCAATTGACTGGATATAATGCATCAAAAGGGGGTGATATCTATATAGTATAATTGTAAATGTTACAGATATTTTAAATTTCCATTACACAGTTTAACATTTACAGATGCGTATATTAATAATGTTATTCCACGTAGATGGTCCAGGATCGATCTGTTTTCGTAATCTATAACTTTTTTTATATGTACTGTTACCTCATATTTTCTTTTAAAGTGCTGTTGCTGGATTTCTGCGACAGACTATTCAGTTCTCAAACCATTTAGTCGTATTTTAATTACCGTTCTTTACCATGACATCACTTAATACTGATAAGAATGTTTTGTGATTGATACAATCTAAATCCTATTGGTCACCAAAATATTAAAGTGAACAGAATCCAAACAGATAGGTCTATCCTATTAAAAGACTACAGCAAGTTCCATGTTGATAATAAATGATTGTCCTCACTCACAAAAGTTGAACTAAACGTTAGCACCACCTGCAGATCAACCAAACTATTTCGATACTGTTTTTCGAAGAATTTCACATCTGTGGTAAAATATGTAGCTAAATTAATACGTCATAAACGTTTACGTTTACTTCAGAATGAATTACTATGGGAGAAAACGGGATTTAGTGAATCATTCACCGTGTATACTACGATTTAATAAAACGAAATAATAGTCTTTTATTCATCAAGATTACTAAAATGGGCTTGCTTATATGTGCACTATTCTCAACTTGTCCCCGATAACTTTCCCTTACATGTCAACAAGATTACGATTTAATCTTGATTGACTCCAAACTACCTAGCAGTGCCATAGGAAAACATATATTGGACATTAGTCATATTCTCCCCCACAATTATTGTTATCATTATTAGTATTACTATCTCCACTGTTATAATTAATTCAACGTTGTTTCTGTTCGGTAATTATTACCATTATCATCACTTCATCTGTTGTAATCAAAACTTGCAAATGATTCTTATCACCGATTACATCATGGTCTTATTCACATTTAAAATATTCATCTATATATTACAATTACAATTATAAAACATTTTGTTTATTAGAACAAATTAGTGAACATGTGAATGAAATGAATATAATTTATTCCTTATTCTTGCTTAGAAACGCTCATCCAGAAATTAAGAGGATAATTTACGTAGCAATACTAAAGATAGCCTGTGGACTGACATGGAAAGAAAGGTTTTAATTATGCAATCCATCGATTAATTATATGTTTTTGAATTATGCCTTGTGGCATGAAAGGTATATATGGTATCAATATGCCGATAACGAAAGTGTAATAAAGGATTGGAGATAATCTCCGACAATTAAAGGGTATATATTTAAAACACTCAGCCAAAGCTCTGTTACACATTACACGATGTAACCACGAAAACTCGAACCAACAGATTATTGCAGTCCCAAGAATGCTCACAATTTGAGATGTAAGCATTTAAAATAGTATCAAAAACTTGTCAACAACAAAAACTGAATAAACCATTATAAAATTGCCGTTAACTGACCTTTCCTTCAAGAATCGCTAGTTCATAGGCGAGCTTCTTTTGAACTGCAACACTCTCATTATATAAACGGTCCAGTAGTGTTTTATGTGATATCAATAATGAATAACGGATCAGTTGGCAAAATTCAGTTCTATTTCACAAAGTTACAAAATACAGGTAAATATAAAACTAACTACTGATAAGATAGTAAGTAACTAAATAGTGAATCTGTCATTCTCAAAAATAAATTGAAGACTAGAGTGGTAAATGGAGAGAAATAGGCAATATCTTGATGTAACAATATGATGATTTGTACTAACCGCTTTCCTGTGGTGTGATAGACGGAATTACTCATATCTAAGACAAATTGAAAAGGCAAGCCACATAGTTTTAGTGTTATTGTCCATCAGTGTTATGGAACAGCATATGAACTGGTTGAGCAAAGAACATACAATGGTGATTAAAAGTTCTATTCTCACTCATTTAGTTTACACATGACATCAAGTTGACTTTATTAAGGCACTTAATTCTATCAAATCTACCACATAGCTTACGGGCTTGCCTTCTCTACGCCGTTGAAGCTGTCGCAATCCATATCCAGAAAACCAACCCCTGTACCTAAAAGAGGATGTACAACCTCTCTTTCTGACTTGGCCATTGATATAGGTTATATAAAAAGTGAAGAGAACTACTTTTAATACTTCCGCAATTCTCGTCCGATTGCGGTTCCTTACTTGACTTTAGTAGTTCATGCTTTATACTTAATTAGTTTTATTAACCATCAATTCTTCGACTACATATTTCAACTGTTATTACTAATATTGAACTTCTTGTCAAATACTTTATCAATCCTAATATCCTATTATCAATCCTACATATTCTTCACTAAGTAACTGTTACTAATATTCAACTTCTTATCAAACACTTCAACCATTCTATTATTACTAATCCTTTATCTGTAAATTGTAATTTGTTCGTTTATCAATAAATACGTTAGAACATTATTCACCTTATGCACTTTAACTTTTACGTGTTTTATTCATCATTCGCAATTGTTTCTATAAACACTTAAATCTGTAAACACTAATATCTAACCCAAGTCACCTTGGCTAATTTAATTTATTCTTAGTGTATGGTCAAGTGTACAATCATGATGAAAAACTAGTTGAAAGGAAATATCTCTTTGCTTAATTCATCTTTTCATTATATGTCAAGATATGAATTATCACTCCCGACCGTTTTTGCTACCTTGACGTGGTGGTCGAGCTTGCCTATCGTGATGAAGCAACCGAGCTATACTGGCTGGAACAACTGTTCCTCAAGGTCCTACCACGTCAGAAAGGTCAGTTGAAGAGCGGTAAGACTAAAAGCAACAAACCCAAGGTCCGAAGGCGAAGTCGTACTGCTGACTGTACAGAGGTGTGACAGCAGTAAGGTGTTTCCTTCAGACAACCAGCATGACAGCGATGCTGCCTTCCCACAAGGAGGGGTGAGGTTAGAAAAGGTCGACCCTAAAAATGCACACCTCGCCTTATCTCACGGATATCCGTCTCCGACGGTGAGGTCTCAACAAGTACGTAGCTAACACAAAAATTGCCCATAAAAAGGTCGTGCGTGACCGACCTCAGGCAGTTGTCCCTTGGGCACTGCGGTCACGCTCCCAGGTCACTAAGACCACCTCTAATCCAATTTCCTTTTCAGGTACCTCCAGAACAACCCTTCCACGGTGTGGGCAACCGGAAAGTGATAACCACCCTCATATCTCTAACAGTACTCAAGACCACTGTATTCATAATCAACCTCCCTCCTCAATTCCTATTATTCCTCCTACATCGAATTTCAACGCTAAACTTCCTCTTTCGGCTTCCCCCTCAAGTGTCACCATAGCTGACGATTCTAATGCTCAAAACACTGTCCCAGGTCTACTGAAACCTCGCTCCAAACTACACATTGGAGCCTTCAACGTACGCACCCTATGTCAAATCGGTCAACAGGCTTCTTTGGCTAGAACCCTAGAATCTCGTACCATTGATGTATGTTGTGTCTCTGAAACACGCATGCAGGATCCCAGTGTGGTCGTTCACTTGACCTCACCTCGGCAAAACGGAGAGCCAACGAGATACACCCTCCGTGTATCTGGTGACCCGATGGCCAGCTCTCGTGGGCTGGCAGGAGTAGGGATAGCACTAAGCATGAGGGCGGAACAAGCACTGTTAGAGCGGATCCCCGTCAACAGTCGTCTATGTGCTGTTCGGCTAAACGGCTCCGTAAGAACTCGGAAGGATAGGGACACACGTCGTTGCCTTTTCGTCGTTTCTGCCTACGCTCCCACCGACTGCATCTCAGATGAAATGAAAGATCAATTTTACAGAAAGCTATCTGAACTTCTTCAGAAAGCTAAACGTTCAGAAATAGTACACGTAGCAGGTGACTTTAATGCTCAGATAGGTAGTTTAAACCAAACAGAAAGGCATTTAGGTGGATATTTTAGTATACCGGCACAGCGAACAGATAATGGTGATCATCTGCTGCAACTGTGCTCAGACAATCGTTTATTTTTAGCAAACACAAATTTTAAGCATAAGGAGAGACATCGTCTAACATGGCGACCTCCTACACCAAACCAACGATGGACTCAAATAGACCATATTGCCATCAGTCATCGTTGGAGAGGGTCGGTAGAAGATTGTCGCTCATTCTGGAGTACCTGTTTAGACTCCGATCACGCCCTAATACGGGAACGCATCTGCTTGCGCCTCACTGGACGCAAAAAAGCCACATTAAAAAGACCCATTAGAACCGAACTGAGTAGCGAGGAAACCAAAAGTAGGTTCCAGAAACAACTGAGATCACACTTAGGTAGTTCTGAAAACGAGGTTGACACAAATGTTGCTTGGAAAGCTATACAAACAGCTGTGGAAACAGCAGTGACATCTATTAATGATTTAAACCACAGGGTTACAAAGAACCAATGGATTTCCTCTAGGTCTATTGCACTGATGGATTCCCGCAAACTCGTCCCATCAGGTTCCGAGCATGATGAAGAGCGACAACAAATCAGATCTAGGTTAAGAAAAAGTCTCAGGAACGACCGTGAGCAGTGGTGGGCAACGAAAGCAAAAGAGATGGAAAAGGCGGCGGCTATAGGGAAAACAAAACAGCTCTACAGACTAATAAAAGAAACTGAAATTAATAAGTTGAGTGTAAGTGAGATTATATCGGAAAAAGACGACACCCTCATCTGCTCTCAGTCCAGACGTTTAGAACGATGGGCGGAACATTTTAGGGAACAGTTCAGCTGGCCTCCAGCTACTCTACAACTACCCTCCATTCCCAGACAGTGTGAATGGAACATTGAAGTAGATCCCCCAACTCTTGCTGAAGTTCAAAAGGCTATAGTTAATCTGAAACGAGGAAGGGCAGCTGGTCCAGATGGATTGGCTCCAGAGGTCTTCAAGGATGGTGGTCCAATTTTAGCGATTAGCTTGACTAATATTTTAGCTAAGATCTGGGAGTTAGACGTTATCCCATCTAACTGGTCACAATCACTTATCGTCCCAATATATAAGAAAGGGTTAAAATCATCCTGTGACAACCATAGAGGGATTAGTTTAACTAATATAGTATCTAAAATACTAGCCTCGATAATTATCAGACGCCTAACTAAGACTCATGAACTGCAAACACGAGAGAATCAAGCTGGCTTCAGACCTGGTCGTGGCTGCATCGACCACGTATTCACCATTTGTCAGGTTCTAGAACACAGGCATACTTATCGACGTCCGACAATGGTGGTCTTCCTTGACTTAAAAGCAGCATTTGACTCGGTAGACTGCGAGATTCTGTGGCAGTGTCTGTCATTGAAAGGCGTACCTCAGAAGTACATAAACCTTGTAAAGGCTCTTTACTCGAGCAATACAAGTCGAGTCAGAGCTTATGGCGAACTGTCATCTGCTTTTGCAACCTCAAGTGGTGTCCTTCAAGGCTGTTGTTGTGGATGCGGAGGAACAGACCAATAATTATCATGTTAAGTCCAATGGTGTCCTTGGACTTTAAATGGACATTTTCTATTGGTCGATATCTGTTCACTTGTTGAATATTGTACAAAATGTTGTTTTCTATTTTATGGTACGATGTGGTGTGCTTGATTGGTATATAAACAAAGCATGTTTGAAATATAATGATTCATATCTCCGAGGCTGTGACTTGTGTTCTGAACTCAACAGGCTGGGCTAGACAGGGAAGTGGGACCAACCGAGACTCTAGGCCGTCCGTCCGTGTTTACGTGTCACTGTAATCGATCGATAAGTACTCTGCTCTCTAATTTCCCAGTCAAGGACACAACAATTAGCACAGGGTAAAAATCGACAGCAACCTAAAGGCATAACAGCTGTCCACCTTCTCCATTTTTGTTTAACTTCATCACAGACCTATTGATGCAAATAACATTCTCGTCCACTGAATTCTCGATCATCGATCTCCTTCCAGGAGGTCCACTTATCGACTTAGAATACGCGGATGACATAGTCCTGTTTGGTAAAGACGCTGATAGAATGCAGTCTTTTGGTAGCGCTGAGCAACAATAACAGAATGTTTGGAATGCGCTTCTCTCCCTCTAAATGCAAGTTGTTGCTTCAGGACTGGTTTGCGTCAACGCCTGAACTAAGGATAGGGAGTGAAGTAGTCGAACGCGTTGACAACTTCACTTATCTTGGAAGTCTGATCAGCCGTAATGGGTTGGTGTCCGACGAAGTCTCAGCACGGATTCGAAAAGCTCGCTTAGCTTTTGCCAACTTACGTCACCTATGGAGAAGGCGAGATATCCGTCTATCAATAAAAGGACGAGTATACTGCGCGGCAGTCCGTTCTGTTTTAATTTACGGCAGCGAAACATGCCCATTAAGAGTAGAAGACACTCGTAAGCTACTAGTATTTGACCACAGATGCCTCAGAAATATTGCTGGAGTCTGCTGGGATCACCGGGTAAGTAATAGTGAGGTTAGACGCAGGATATTAGGAGATGATGGTAAATCAGTTGATAAGGTTGTGAATCTTCATCGACTGAGATGGTTGGGCCACGTGTTACTTATGCCCGAACACCGATTACCACGACGTGCAATGCTAACCGGTGTTCAGGATGGTTGGAAGAAATGTAGGGGCGGCCAAACCAAAACGTGGCATCAGTGCTTGAAGTCACTAACTTCTAATCTGAGCCATGTTGGTAGATGCAGACTACTTGGTTGGGGTACGCGTGACTATCGTAACCAATGGTTGGAGACTCTTGGTGACGTGGCTCAGAATCGATCACAATGGCGTCGGTGTATACACTCTCTGTCTTCCCTTAAACTAAGAGATTAAAATCGCTTCATATCTTTCTTTCTACGAACTAATTCTTTCTTCCTGTACTATATCCTTATTGCAATCTTTCTTTTATATATTACCACCTCTGAATTAACTACTTTTATGAATCCGGTGTCCATCTTGTTGTGTTAATGAGGTATGGCAACTTGGACTGATGCATATATGTGCCTGGTCCTACGTTGTAGCTGACTGACATGAATTATCACTATATTGGTGAAAATGATCGAAAAGAAGGTCTGATTCTATAGTGTAAATATCAAAGAGTTTATATATAATTAAAAATTCGATGACATGCTACATTCATAATCTTTAATATCGCTTGTAAAATACTCATATTTACAAACAATTTTATTATATTACACGATAATTTGCATTTTTGAATATATTATCACGAAACCAAATTCTGGTAAAAAAAAAGCAACGACCTAAATATTCAAAAACAGATATAAATAAGGTATGTTTAATCCGATCAAATTATTGACTTATTCTACATTTACATTGCTTATATGTCTAAATTTATTATGATTGAATAATACTTGATAACATTAAAATGCTATTTGTAATAATATGCTACGTTCGAGGAGATTACAATGTCACCTAGGACAGGCTAACAGAACGAAAATCAGCAACACAACAACAGGACTAGTTAAGCTATTCCACTGTGCAACAGCCCAACTAACTAGAGGGAGAAGACCAGATTCAGCCGAGAAAATATCTATTCCACAAGCAGCCGGGAAGCACGAACGAACAAGCACACAACTCATGAGTATACATACAGCACAAAATTGTCTTTGGAAAACGTCACAAAATAGCGTACTGAAAGAGGAAACGAGTCAATGACATTTAAAGTCCTTCCTGGTGGGAAATACAAACTGAGGGTAGAAATTGTTGTTTTGGCGCGAAAATGAGAAATTCAAATTTTCATGGTAAAATTTAAAAATTGAGACGTTTACCAAGTGATTTCTGGGGATCTAGCATCCTTAACATAATAAAAAAAGGATAGTGTACTAAGAAACCAATTCATTTCAATTCTGAGGAGAGCAAGAACAAAGATCTGACTAGAATAACATGGATTCATTTTATTCTTACTCATATTTATTTATTTGAACACATAAATATTGGTACAAGGGGGCACCAGATATATATGCACCATACACATTCTTACTTATGATCATTACGCAACCACATGTCTGTAGATTCCTGTCCTTTTGTTACTATCAGTGTTGAAATATATTTCTTTCAAATTAGATACATGTTAACAATATTTTATTTAGTTTACAAGACTCAGTCACACCCTTGCTATACTACACTGATAAGTGAACATTTAAAAAAAACTCCGATCAAAGTTTATCATATAAGTAATTTGAACCCATTTTGTAATTAGGATTTTTAAATATTAGGGGTTGTAAGCCGCTGGTAGGAATCAAACGAAATGAAATAAATGTATGTTATTTCGCTCAAATCTTTATTTTTGCTATCCTCAAAATGATAAAGAGAACTGTGTGTATATGATTTCACTATGATAACTTTTTATGTATAATAACTGTCAAATTTTAGCATTTCGTCCAATTTGCCAATAATAATTAGCATATGATGCTAATGTTGTTTACTCTACTGTTTCAACATAAAATGAACTTGTCTGATTATGATTAGCAGGTTATGGGATTATTTCCCACCAGTAAGTCAAATTCCTTAAGATATGTTATCGTGGAAAAATGCCATTATGAAACTCCTATTCTTTTCATAATGTTTGTTTAACTAATTAGTCAATCAGTCATATGTATTATAGAACCTGGAACACATATTCATCGATGCAGGTGTCATACCACGTAAGCACAGTGAGATAAAATTATCGAAACAACTCCCTGGATAGTGAAAGTAGTAACAGTCCCAGTAGTAGTAGAAAAGTGACAGTGAGACAGATTTAATTCAAACATGTAAGATTTAATATTGGAAAAAGATTCGTATTATTTTTGTTGCATTCTCGAGTAACAGGATATGAGAAGTGCAGACATTCAAAAATATATGACTGGACATAATGAAAATAATAAACCTATGAGCATTGTCATTTTTAAACATCTTAAAGGGGATGTCGGTTAAATAGCTTCCATATAGCTCATGACCAATTTATGATGTTAATTATGTTTTTACTTGGACTTTAGCCGTGAATACTGAACTTTATCAGTTTTTCCGAAATGATTTTCAATATATCGATTCTTCACAATATCGTGTGACGTAAGATATGTCTCAAAGCCTTCCTATGCCAAGTATTTTACTTGTTATAAACAGGTGATTAATTAAATACAACCAATGTCTATGACAATGATCATCCAATCTCAAATAAGTACAGTGATTCTTAAAACTGACTGAATTTACGCTAAATTCACCTACTCAACTTCAATGGTAATAACCATGTGTTGATCAGTGACTAACTCTGAGGTAATTCCCGGAGTTTCAGTAATCAGTCGTGACCAGTGGATCTCAACCATGAAGAGTGTGAGGCAGTTACCCATCAATAAAATTGGGGGATGGCTGTATAATTATGAGAATAGATTCAAGTTAAACATGTAAACCATTAGATACTTGCTCAGTGGTTTAAAGACTAAGTACTCGCTGTGGGACCTGAAGGTCCTAGACTTGATCTCTAGTGGAGTTATGAATGATTAATTATCGGGAGCTCCACATTAGAACGAAACATCTGTTCAGTGTTTCCTAACTTTAAATGGTTATTTGATTAAGGCTGGTTCGTGATATTAACCATAAAACCCAACAATGTTTACCAACCCCCTATACAGTATTCAAATTTTAGCTTAAGCTGTAAAAAATTATAGTATACTCACATTTCAGGTAAGTGAACTTGTTCATTGAGACATGAACATGGTAAACCCCACTTCAAATGTGAATCTTTCTTATTAAGATACCGAGTGAAGACTACCAGGAACTTTTCAAAGGTACGAACTTACTTTCAAATGTGAATCAATTCGATACATAGCTTAAATAGTTAGAATTACAATTATTTTCAAAAATTCATTAATCACTAGAATAATGATCTACTGACTACTTTTGATATTTTGGAGTGCCAGTAAGTTGCCTAATCGTTTTCCTTTCAACTCAGTAGTATCACTAACTAATGCACACAGACATACATAAACTTCAACTTGATTACCGATTTGCATCGTTATCCATTTCATTCAATTATCACCTTATACACAACTTCCATTCGCCAGTTAACAGAACAACAGATAACATATATTATTTCAAACGAACCTGACGATGAGAATAATATAATTAGAAAAATAAGCGATAGTATAAAGACTGTCTATGCGTAAAAAGAATGTGGCTTCAAAATATCAATATTACTACCACTGATTTTATTCATTTAAAATACGTTTTGGTGAGCCAATTTACAACAGCTTGTTGGCAGGAGGCAGTAAAATTCACACTCAATCATACGATTTCCGTTGACAGTCAATCAGTTTATATCAATGCAATTATTTGATGCCATTGTTGAAGTACCATACTAATAAGCTTTATGAAATATTTAACAAGATTTGCTAGTAAATAAACTCAAAGAAATAAAAGGATTACCTCAATTTACGGATTTGTTTTTTCATTTGATCATCAGATAAATTGTCAGTACTCCTTAATTTCATTAATAGGGTATTTAAATAAAGTTTGCCTAACAGATTATGATTTTCTGGATGCTAAAATACAAAATAAATAAACAAAGATCATCATAAAAATAGAAGTGGGTTTGTATTTGAAGTGAAGATAATAACAAAATAAATAGTATTTATGAGTTTCATAGTAAAGAGGAGTACTGAATCATAAAATTACAAATTTTGTGACGTACTCATAGTAGTATGATATTCGATTAATATATTTGACATGAGAAAATATAAAACTCTGAAAACAACAATGTCTTGATTGTATATTAGCATCAATACAACTGAAATCTTACGTTTCTTATGAGGATATGCAGTAAAAACTATTATACAGATTGTAATAAGAATAAGCGCAGTTCCTTCTAATGTGAAAAGTATTTTTACCACAGATTGACACTAACTGGTTTCACCCGTTTCAACCATAAAATCAATGAATCAAAACTCAAAGGTAATGAGCTCACTGAAAGACCTGGAGGTCTCGAATAAGACGCTTGGTAGGGTAGAAGAGACATTCCAAAACTAAATAGAAAAGAAATCCAATGAGTCTTGGATTTCGAAGATTCCGAAACTGAGAAAAAACCACCTTCACACTAAATAAATCTACATAAACCACTTAATGGGACAATATCTTACTTTAATTTAATGCGAACCCTCGACAATTTAAAACTTCCCTATCGCCCCAGTATCCTGTTCTTCTCTTCAAATTCAATTTCACTTTTTTAAGCTATGCTACTTAGAAGTGTGGTAAGTTGAATCCATGAATAAGTAATATTTTAGCAAGAATGAATATTAAAAAGATCATTTATAGCTAACTAAAACTAGGTTCACAAAATAGGTCATATAGGATAAACATTGAGAAATATTCTTTCAATAACATTCAAGTCTCAATTCTAGGTAACTTGTGTTATGAACTCTCTTATTACGACCCAGCTACCCGGGTTGCTTAGTTATCTTGAACACAACTTCAATCGATAAGTCACCAAATCGGAAGACGGTTGAGCAGGAACGTAATTGTATTCCAAATAAACAAGGGTGAATAGAAGTAAGAATCAAAAAAAGAAAAATGATAGTACATATATAATTTCTTCACAACATTCTACAGTCTTCTCCAAGTATATACTGGCGCTGATTGTTTTTTTCTCAACTAATTAGCATGCCACAACACACCCCTGTAAGGAACACGCTTTAATTCAATCTATATTCTACTAACGTGTTCAATAAAGAGAGAAAGTAAACAATATTGATTATACTGAACTAATTTGAATAAATCACTTCATCCCATGGAAAATTCTATCCCAGAAATTACTACCACGGTTTTAGAAGCACTTGAAATTAGAGTTATTTGCAAACCAGCACAATCCCAGCAGTCTATTTTATACAAAAAAATGATGGAACAATGAGGGGAAGCAGGCTCGACAAGATAAATTGTATCAAGTACGAAAACTATTAGACCGGACACCTATTCATAAAGATTAGCAGATAGACAACAAAATGTTGTTACTTAAATCGATGGACATAGAAAACCACAAAAAATTAAAGAATACTGGAAACTTTTGGAAACCTCAAGTCAATCCGCAGTCAATGGAGATATTGACACAAGTTTAATCTGTTAACTGGTAACCATAACGTTAATCAATTACATGGTAAGAGGACAACCTACCACAACAGTCATCGAGGATCAATCGACTAACAACAGGATTATCAGGAGGAACTAACTGCACGTTTAAAGAATGATTCTATAATTCTTAATTAAATAGAAGTTAAGTACTAATCATGCTATCCCATTTGAACCATCCAAACCAAGGATTCAACACTATATACATTCATCTATGCTAAAAACTCTCTCGATTGTTTCCAACGCTTTCGCTGTCAACTTCTTGTTTAATATCAGACATTCACACTGCACACAAGCACACACGTAGTTAGACTTTTCATACTACTGTTTCCATTCAAAACATCATCACAACTATCAGTGCAACTTTACAGAAAGTTTTAAACTCCAGAAATTACGATCAACATAAGACATGCTAAATGCATTAAATCCTATAAAAATAAAGCGCAGTACACCGATTGTGCATTCTGAGATTTTTCCCAGAAAAATTTTCATGACCAGTCATTTACAAGAGACCAGAGGACTTACACAATTGGGTAGAGAAGAACACAAATGTTTCAAATAAGTCATTGTCATATTTGGATATGAAGAAATAAGGCTTTTAATAATATGATTAGGTGATAGAATTTGGGATGGTGCAAGGCTACTTTCCAAGGACGTTTCGGTTGTACTGCCTTCAATAACAGACAATTCACATGATGAATTAACATAACTTGAGGGAATAGGAAAACGTAGCATGAGCTGTTCAGCTATAATCTCATGATTAGTTGTTAAAGCTTGCATAAAATGATTCCAAACTAATTCAGAATAAACAGAGAACTCATAATTTACATCATTTGACGAATGAATAGCCGCTCCCTTATAAAGTGATTGTTTCTGAGAGTCAGTTGAATTATGCGCGGATAGGCTAAAATGTAAAACATGATTAAGTAGTTAAAAGCATCATTATTAACCTTCATTCATATAGAAGTAAACAAAATAGATGCTGTATAAAATATACCATGAATTCTGAATCGTAGTGCTACTATAAAAACCATGAGTCTACAAAGACCTTTGTTAGATTTCAAATATTTTAGTCGATTTAATTTCTTTACAACCGGTAAACATCCATTTAATGTTTTATTAAAAACACATTTGATGGATAAGTTTGATTGAATTCATATCAAGAACAAACAACATCTTACATTCGACTAGCTCCTGATATCTCATGTCATTATCCAACATATAATAACATGTTTCAAAGTATGAGTGATTACATTTGTATAGTTCATTAAAATACGTAAAATACAGTACAATGCAAATAATGAATAAAATAAGAAATATAAACTTTTTAAACTTACTCCAATAGTATAGAAATATAAAATTCTACTCCTGGAAAACTTGAATCATTTAGTTCATTGTAAACTAGTCTAAAAATAAATTACATAAATCGAGGAATTTAGCCAACATATCTTGAAATGTATTTTACTGATTCATATTAATGTATGTATTCGAAAAAAAAGCTATAAAAAAATATAGAAATTTCTTTAAATGTACGAGTAAATTCATTCCACTTTTGAGTAGAACTAAGAGACAATCAACATGAATAAGAAAAACAAAATGTTATGATAAACAAAACAGACAAAAATTCAACAATCGCCACAGTTAAATCAGTTGTTTATTCAGAAACTTTATAAATTCCTTTATTTGTATTTTAGTTGTCATATCCGAAGGACTTAAGAAATAGTAACTTCTACGGCTAATTTATGAGCTATTATTATATACAAATATATACTTATCATATATATAAACGCCGACTGTCTACTGATTAAGTATGATTTAGGTAACCTGTATACCAATTCACAGTATTACGATATTATCTGCAAAGACAGTAAATAAACAAAAAAAGATCTGCGGTAAAACGAAAGCCAGTTTTTAATAAAACCTAATTAATTTTGTTATAAGGGAAGCTGGAACGCTGTAAATCACAGCATCATGTGTATAGAAAGATCTAACTGGTAGACATATACAAGTAAATACAGGTTAATCAAGAATAAATGAGATGTTAAAACTACCCCTACTTACTTTCGCCATATTTCCAATGCACCTGAAAGGTTACCTTGCCAACGATAAATAAGCGCCAAAGCATGGTAAGCATTATTATTTTCTAAGTAGACAGTTAGATCTTCCACGTCAATGTGTATCAAGCTTGAAATCAGATCAACTAAACCTTGATTATTATTGTTAGTTGACTTAGTGAGACCACCTTCACCTGACTGAGAATCACTAGAAGACGTATCAATGATTAATTCATAGGGATATGGTTGAATACCAGCCTGTTGTAATCGAACGTACAGTTTAACTAAAGCAGTTTCTACAAACTGAAAGAGCAAAATGAACTAACTGTAAAGTTTAAAATAAGGTAACTCATAACATGATAAAGATAACAGTTAAAAACTTTAAACGTTCGGTTTACCGGTAAATGATCAATAATCGCACACATTTCAAAGTACTACAACATGTTGCACAACTACTCTATAAGAAATATTGGTTACTCCAAGACGAATACTGCAGAGAAAATATATTTAGTAAACAGAAATCAAAGTTTCACCATTGAATCATCCAGCTCAGAGAACACAACACCTAAATTGGGTAACGGTTTCTGTTAGCGGTTCACACCAATTTATAGATGTCGTGTGAATAAAAAAAAGTAGACTGATTACCAAGAAGTGTTGATGTAAAGTCTTAGATAAATATTCAGTTTTACGAAGTAAAATGTTTCCTCAATAAACTGGATTATAAGTAACGAACAGTAGCAGTAGTTTTTGAGAATTCCCTTGTATAATGTACTTTAAATTTATGCAACTTTTCCCAGTAGTTAATTTCTTTAAACTTATGAAAATTACCAATGATTAGAGGTGGAATGACCAGTTAGTAACCAATTCCACATTCTCCCACGATTGCACTACGATTTGTAGACTAAACTTACTGGGTGATGACTAAAGCCATCGACTGAAGAAGCCAAACTAATCGGTTTGCAATTCAATATCTATTTGTGAACTTATTAGTTCACAATTCAATAGTATTCATAATTAATTATGTGAAAATGTATTTAACAAGCAAGGAAATGACAGTAATGATATATTTAACCATACTCACATGTAAATGCTTCTCAACAAATTTACTTTTATGATGTTTACGCAAAAAGTTGAAAAGGAATTCTTCATATTTTAATAACCATGATGAACTAATTGTTAGATCATGATCATCATTATCTGAATCTTCTGCAGCTCTTAAAATGCACAAATCACTAGTCAAATTAAATCCAGACGTTTGAGCATTATCGTCATTATCATGATTAGCTTCGGGATTAGTCTGATGTAGTTTGTAAAACCAATTTGGCATAAAATAACAACCTTTTGGCAAGAGATCAGAATACCGAAACAGAATCTGATTACAGAAAAGAAGGAATAAACAAACGTTTTCTAAAATTTCACATCCTAAGCAGTAAATAAATTGTAATACATAAATAGAAGCAAGTTGCGTTCATACTTATGTACAACCATTCATAAACCTATGTTTATAAGTCTTGATTCATGTCATAATTCAACAAAATATCGGTAAAACATCGTATGTGATGTGTACTGATAAACTGAAATAATCCACTCAATTTCAAAAAAGTGCAGTAAGATGATATCTGAATTGTAATAATAATACTAAGAATTAGTGTTATTGAACAACCGAATACAAAGGTGGATATGCCGGCTGTGACATTAAACTTACTTACGCCTGTTACTCCCAATGGAGCATAAGCCACCGACCACCATTCTCCAACCCACTCTATCCTGGGCCTTCCCTTCTAGTTCCATCCAATTCTCGTTCATTTCTCGCATGTCTATTTCCATTTCTCGGCGTAATGTGTTCTTTGGTCTTCCTCTCCTCCTCCTTTGGCCTTGAGGATTCCATGTGAGGGCTTGTCTTGTGACGCAGTTGGGTGCTTTCCTCAATGTGTGTCCTATCCACTTCCAGTGCTTCTTCCTGATTTCTTCCTCCGCTGGGATCTGGTTTGTTCTCTCCCACAGTAGGTTGTTGCTAATAGTTTCCGGCCAACGGATCCGAAGTACTTTGCGTAGACAACTGTTAATAAACACCTGTATTTTCTGGATGATGGCTTTCGTAGTTCTCCAGGTTTCTGCCCCATACAGTAGAACTGTCTTGACATTTGTATTGAAAATCCTGACCTTGGTGTTGGTTGACAGTTGTTTTGAGTTCCAGATGTTCCTCAGTTGTAAATATGCTGCTCTTGCTTTGCCGATCCGCGCCTTCACATCTGCATCAGATCCACCCTGTTCATCAATGATGCTGCCCAGATATGTAAAGGTTTTTACATCTTCCAAATCTCCTCCGTCAACTGTGATTGGATTGGTGCATGCTGTGTTGTATCGGAGAATCCTGCTTTTCCCTTTGTGTATATTGAGACCTACTGCTGCTGAGGCTGCTGCCACACTGTTCGTCTTCACCTGCATTTGTTGTTGCGTTTGCGATAGAAGGGCCAGATCATCTGAGAAGTCTAGATCGTCCAACTGCATCCTAGATGTCCATTGTATCCCGTGCTTCCCTTCAGATGTTGACGTCTTCATGATCCAGTCGATCACCAGGAGAAAGAGGAAGGGTGAGAGTAAGCAACCTTGCCTAACACCGGTCTTTACTTCGAACAAGCTTGTCAACTGTCCTCCGTGCACGACTTTGCAGTTTAATCCATCATAGGAATTCCGTATGATATTGACTATCTTCCGAGGCTGGGCGTAGTGTCGAAGAAGTTTCCATAGTGTTGTTCTTTCCACACTATCAAGTGCTTTTTCTTAGTCAATGAAGTTGATGTAGAGTGATGAATTCCATTCAATTGATTGTTCTACAATGATCCGTAGAGTTGCGATTTGGTCTGTACACGATCTATCCTTATGGAATCCTGCCTGTTGGTCACGAAGTTGGGAGTCTACGGAGTCCTTCATCCTGTTTAACAATACCCTGTTGAAGACTTTTCCCGGTATTGAGAGAAGAGTGATGCCCCTGTAGTTATCACATTCGCTGATTAAACTCAAAACAACTTTTTGCTTCTAGTGCTAAATAATATGTTGAAGGTAGGGATTCCACGAGTTTATGTTTGTTTGATGCTGAATTAATAGATAAACTCTCTAATCAAATAAGAAACAATGTAATGATATTTACCGTCTAACCAATAATAAGTTAATTCACTCACCTTTGAGCTATACTGTATTTGGGGGTGCTAGTGATACTACTCGTTTGTTTAAATCGAGGTAGATTGAGAAGGCTTTCATACTTCCATTTGTTAGTTAAAACTCAAGTGCCTTCACCACTGACCCACCGCTCAAAAAAGAATATATCTCATTACAGTTTACTGTAATAGACTAAATATTAAATTTGTAATAAAACGTAGTAAGTTTCATTCTAAATAACTGCATCATTTATTTGAAGAGTTTTTAACACGGACTGGTTTTAGCTTAAAAAGCATTAAGAAGCCAACAGAAATGAAAGAGCTGATTCACATGAGTTTGCGACATTTATACCACTGAGTTGCAATCTAGTGGTAGTATATAGTTAGTCACAGCTTCAGTCTATCTAATTATGGAGTGACAATAACTGTCTTATTCCTGACATGATTAATTTAACATATCACAGCTTAATAGACTAATTATCAATATACCAAAATAAGAACCACTTCAAATATAATAATAACAATAAAGGGATTATATAAAGGGAAGTAACTCACTTCACGTATGTCTATAGTGCTCTGTTCAAAGTAGGAAGCTGCTTTATCTAGTTCGCCCTTTTCAAAATGATAAAATCCTAAAAGTCCAAGTACCCGTTGACGTCTCTGGAAAAGCAAAATATAGGAAATCGTTTTGTTATTAATTATCACAATACTAAAAGATATGAAAGTGACAAGGAAAGTAATCGGCCCAAAAAAACATAAATATTTCAATAACCTTAATTAACTTTAGAATATTAGATAAAAGTTCCACGACTTACTGAAACTACAGCCCTGTAGTGATTAACGAATTATAAGTTAATCTGCGAATATATCCTTACGACTTAACACGTAAATCCAACAATACACCAAAAGTCAAAACACAAGATGTCAGTTGGAATCATTTGTTTGACAGACGCTATGCTGGAGAAAAACTATGAGTGTAAACTGATTGGATAAAACATTGGGGTTAGTAACAAGTCAACTCAATTTTGTGACTCACCTTATATAGTTTAAACAGACAAAGAGTAATGTAAGCTAGTAGATGAACAACAAACGAAGTGTACATAATAGCATACGTGAATATAATTAACACGAATACAGATGACAGCGGTACATGCATAGAAAGCGGCAATTACCTATGGGAAATATAGATTTATAAGGTGTAAAAGTGACTTAATAGTTGCATATTGTCTAATCAACTAATATTTGTCTGACAACTAGAATGAATCTACTCAAGTGTTGTGAAAAGTCACACAGAAACTATCGAATCTATACAGAGAAAAAAAGGAAGAACAGCAAAGACAGTTGTAGTAATAAGCACCACATCAAAGGGTGATATAACAATGATTGTTTGAAATTTGTACGCATTACAGTGACTACTTGAAACAAAAGGCAATAACAAAATATTTTTCAGAAATAAAACAGCACATAATGATTAATATATTCAAGCAGCTTTGAAAATTGATGTGTCATTATGTTTCACTGAAACTAAACACTTTACTATGTGAAGTAAAATAGCTAAATTACTATGTTTTAAACAAGTGGGTTGTAGGTTTGAATTCCACTCCATCAATTTCGGTTTGTCTAGGTGATTAGTATTACTAACCATCACACAGTGTAGATTAAAGCCAAGTACTTGGTCAGACAGCAACATAATGGTTTAAACCCATGAATAAAAACAAAAAAAGTCGATTGGATACACACTTTCCTAAATCTTTGTTAAACCCGACGTTTAAATAATTCCTAATTTAGTTAAATGCACGCATAATTGTATAGTTTGATGATTCACCTTGTTTATGTGATGTAACAATTTATCTGGTAATCATGAACAATCATTAGAAAAAGGAATAAACAGATGTATAAACTATCACAATAAAATAAAACAGGAAATAAGCATGATGAGAGATTGACAAAAATCACTACAATTAGTGAATAGTTGAGAAAATGAATGTTATTAATAAAAGCCAAGTAGAAATAAATAGACAAAATAAGTAGTAGAAAGAACACAGTATAAAAACAAATTATCCAGCTACTTATGAAATGATATCAGCTGCAAAACTATTGGTAATCATACTGAAGCCATATCACAGTTGTGAGCGTATTATAATACAAATGTCCTTGCATAATATTTCCCGGATATTTTTCTAAGATTTATGTTAGTTTCGACATTCTCATTAATCCTCTAAAGGATTGGGAAAGTAACCTTTAAGTTAAGACTAAAGCGGGATTATAATCTGACTACTACTTAACAGATGTGTGGTGGAAAATAAGTCAATTAACTTATCAGATATTTGGGTTTTGTCCCCCAGTTGTAATCAATCAATGTTTATTATCGTGGTTTATGCATCGTGACATGGGATACACGCATATTTACGCTATTTGAGTTCATATCAGTGGCTACACGATGTGACTTACATGTATCATTGAAAGTTCTTCCCTTAACGTTACCACTAATCACTTACCATTATTTTATCCACGAATAACAGTTTCAAGACACCAATGATCTGATATCAGTAGTCATCTATCTAAAACGGTAATATTTCGCATAGAAAGTTGTTGAGATATTTAATCAATCACATTGTTTAGAGATTGATGATCAAATTTTCTGAATAGCAGACAAAAGTTCAACAGGTGTCATGCAAACGTCCACCGAAGATGTGGTCTAACACCTGCCACTTTTAACCATATGGTTAAAATAGGCATCGATGAAAACCGGTCCGATAGCATAACCATGAACTGAATAAATTTATATATTGTGAAGGACAGTAGCTTTAGTTACCACGTTAATAATAAGCATAGTTTAAGATATTTAAAATTCGGAAACCATAATAAAACTGTATCAAAAAGAAACATTGTGAATTACCTAACATATTGGTAAATGACAACTCCGCCTGGAGTCCCTCCGGGGGCCACTACCGGTCCCAAGCCCGGATAAAGGAGGAGGGTTGGGCATGGGGTTACCGTCCCCATCCCGTAGAAAACTAACTCGCTAAAAAAACGCTTACCAGAAAAAATTATTCAGACCTTTAAACTCTGCCCTGGGAGTCAGAAGGTCTTCATTTAGAAGAATTATGACGCCTCATGGTGAAAGCCGAATTCCTTCGGAAGTCACGAGGCTGATGCCCCTTCTGACAACCAGAGCGACCATTTATTTAGGTACGTGGAATGTTCGTACAATGTGGGACACCGGGAGAGCCTTCCAAATTGCTGCAGAAATGAGAAGATACAACCTAGAGGTATTTGGGATCAGTGAAACACATTGGACACAAGTTGGACAACAACGACTAGCTTCAGGGGAGCTTCTGTTATACTCCGGCCATAAAGAAGAAAACGCTCCACATACACAAGGAGTTGCATTGATACTGTCCAAACAAACACAAAATGCACTTATAGGATGGGAATCTCATGGACCAAGGATCATCAAAGCCTCCTTCAAAACAAAGAAAGAGGGCATTTCAATGAACATCATCCAATGCTATGCGCCTACCAACGACTACAATGAAGACGCTAAAGATCAACTCTACAATAGGCTGCAGTCAATCATCGAGAAGTGCCCAACAAAGGACCTGACCATTCTGATGGGAGATTTCAACGCCAAGGTTGGAACGGACAACACTGGATATGAAGACATCATGGGACGACACGGACTGAGAGAAAGGAACGAAAATGGTGAGAGATTTGCAAATCTATGTGCCTTCAATAAACTGGTCATAGGCAGCACCATATTCCCACATAAACGCATACACAAAACCACATGGACTTCACCGGATCACTACCACACGAAACCAAATCGACCATATTTGCATCAACAAAACGTTCAGGAGGACTATAGAGGACGTGAGAACCAAGAGAGGAGCTGATACAGCATCAGATCATCACTTGCTGGTCGCCAAGATGAAATTGAAACTCAAGAAGCACTGGACAATGGGGCGGACAATATCACAAAAGTTCAATACGGCCTTTCTTCAGGATACTAACAAACTCAACAAATTCAAGATAGTCCTCAGCAATAAGTACCAGGCCATTCATGATCTACTCAATGGAGAAGGAACTACTATGGAGAGCAATTGGAAAGGGATAAAATAGGCAATCACGTCAACATGTCATGAGGTCCTGGGCCACAAGAAGCACCATCACAAGGAATGGATCATTGTTGATACACTGGATAAGATTCAAGAAAGGAGGAACAAGAAGGCAGAAATCAATACCAGTCGAACAAGAGCAGAAAAAGCCAAGGCACAAGCTGAATACACAGAAGTAAACAAGCAAGTGAAGAGAAGCATCAGAACCGACAAACGTAAATATGTGGAAGATTTAGCAACGGCGGCGGAAAAGGCTGCAAGAAAAGGAAACATGAGACAATTGTATGACACGACAAAGAAACTCTCTGGAAATCGCCGCAAACCAGAACGACCAGTGAAAAGCAAGGAAGGCGAGATAATCACCAACATTGAAGAGCAGCAAAACAGGTGGGTAGAACACTTCAAAGAACTCTTGAATCGACCAGCTCCACTGAACCCACCCAACATCGAAGCAGCACCCACGGACCTCCCAATCAATGTTGGCCCACCAACAATTGAAGAAATCAGCATGGCCATCAGACAAATCAAGAGTGGCAAAGCAGCAGGACCGGACAACATCCCAGCAGAGGCACTAAAAGCAGATGTAGCGGCAACTGCAAGGATACTCCACATTCTCTTCAGCAAGATTTGGGATGAGGAACAAGTACCAAAAGACTGGAAAGAAGGACATCTGATCAAAATACCGAAGAAAGGAGATATCAGCGAATGTGATAACTACAGGGGCATCACTCTTCTCTCAATACCGGGAAAAGTCTTCAACAGGGTATTGTTAAACAGGATGAAGGACTCCGTAGACTCCCAACTTCGTGACCAACAGGCAGGATTCCATAAGGATAGATCGTGTACAGACCAAATCGCAACTCTACGGATCATTGTAGAACAATCAATTGAATGGAATTCATCACTCTACATCAACTTCATTGACTAAGAAAAAGCACTTGATAGTGTGGAAAGAACAACACTATGGAAACTTCTTCGACACTACGCCCAGCCTCGGAAGATAGTCAATATCATACGGAATTCCTATGATGGATTAAACTGCAAAGTCGTGCACGGAGGACAGTTGACAAGCTTGTTCGAAGTAAAGACCGGTGTTAGGCAAGGTTGCTTACTCTCACCCTTCCTCTTTCTCCTGGTGATCGACTGGATCATGAAGACGTCAACATCTGAAGGGAAGCACGGGATACAATGGACATCTAGGATGCAGTTGGACGATCTAGACTTCTCAGATGATCTGGCCCTTCTATCGCAAACGCAACAACAAATGCAGGTGAAGACGAACAGTGTGGCAGCAGCCTCAGCAGCAGTAGGTCTCAATATACACAAAGGGAAAAGCAGGATTCTCCGATACAACACAGCATGCACCAATCCAATCACAGTTGACGGAGGAGATTTGGAAGATGTAAAAACCTTTACATATCTGGGCAGCATCATTGATGAACAGGGTGGATCTGATGCAGATGTGAAGGCGCGGATCGGCAAAGCAAGAGCAGCATATTTACAACTGAGGAACATCTGGAACTCAAAACAACTGTCAACCAACACCAAGGTCAGGATTTTCAATACAAATGTCAAGACAGTTCTACTGTATGGGGCAGAAACCTGGAGAACTACGAAAGCCATCATCCAGAAAATACAGGTGTTTATTAACAGTTGTCTACGCAAAGTACTTCGGATCCGTTGGCCGGAAACTATTAGCAACAACCTACTGTGGGAGAGAACAAACCAGATCCCAGCGGAGGAAGAAATCAGGAAGAAGCACTGGAAGTGGATAGGACACACATTGAGGAAAGCACCCAACTGCGTCACAAGACAAGCCCTCACATGGAATCCTCAAGGCCAAAGGAGGAGGAGAGGAAGACCAAAGAACACATTACGCCGAGAAATGGAAATAGACATGCGAAAAATGAACGAGAATTGGATGGAACTAGAAGGGAAGGCCCAGGACAGAGTAGGTTGGAGAATGCTGGTCGGCGGCCTATGCTCCATTGGGAGTAACAGGCGTAAGTAAAGTAAAAGTTGATAAATGACAGCCTACAACAAAACTGAATCTAATTGTAAATTTACCTTATCGAATAATTGTTGTTCATGTTTGAATTTCTCAACTTGCAACTGCATGGCTTGAGTAAGACGATTTCGTTCTTGTTGTTGTACAAGGAAAGCTTGTTTAAGACAACCAGTTAAGATGAACCTCCGTGCAATCAAATCCCAACGTTCTGGTCCTAAGACTTGAATATTTCTGATGGATGTAGTGTCAGTATTACAGTCAGATGTTCCAGTAAAGTATAACAAATGAGCGTCAGCAGAAAAACAAGCTACAGATGGCTTTTGAAGATTTATTGTTTGTATCTGGGATTGTGTCAAGATGCTATAACAAAAGGAGAGTAGTAGGTATGTTAGTTTTAGAAGTATGAGATTAGGATGAGGAGGTTGTTAATACTATGATAATTGATAGTATAGTCTCATTTATATCTTCATCACCAATTCCTGGCGTAAGATGGACAGGACTACAGTCTGATATCATTTTAATGAAATTAATTAAAATTCTAAACATTCTTCAGTCAAATCTTAAATAATTCTATTTTCTATTGACGATATTTTTAATTGTGGTGACATTTCGTAGATAGTCACTGGATGACTGGAAAGATGTATAGAAAGAATCCATAACATTTAACAGAAATACCAGTATTTCATTGTACATCAGCAGACGACCACCCATAAAGTTAATTTATCAGTAAATACTACCTGTCAGAATGATATAGCATCTCTAACTTTAGTGTAAATTTATTTCGAAAATTTGAATCCCCTTGTTTTCGCGCCAAAAGCGCTCTTTTCACCTTCATGTCGTATTTTCCATTTGGGAGGATCTTAAACGCTATTGGTTCGTTGTACCGTTCAGTATGTTATTTTGTAACGCTTCCCAATGACAGTTTTATTCCGTATATATACGTTTGATTTGTGCCCGTTTGTTATCGCTCGTGCTTCTGGTTGCTTGCGGAATATATTTCCCCGTTTCGAACTTGAACTTCTATCTCTAGTTAGCGGGGCTGGGACTCATCAGAATAGCTAGCTTACTGGTCTTTGGTCACATAGTCTTTGTTCCGTTCGCATACTAGGCGAACTCGTAATCGCTTTTAACATAGAAGGCATTCAGACAATGAACTCATTTTAAAATTATACAAACACAAGATATTTTTAGTTCACTGAAGATTTCTTAGAAAGAAGATAATCAATAATAATTTAACTCATTCACAAGGTACTTGGATATGATCCACAAAAAAGTGAGGGTTACGGATAATACATAGTTCCCAAAACTGAAGTAGATGAAGCGATGTACAAAATTGTGAATTGATGGCTGTAAATTGAATATCTTAACCACTAACAGTCACTACTGCAAATTATTTTTCGTCAGATATTCAACAAAATAGTTTTGTGTGTACGGTCCTTATCTGAATAAAAAAAGTCTTTTTTTTACAGCAAACTTGTCGGGTTATATTTCACCCAAGTACAAATGGAATCTGATACTGTGTTTCTCCCATATGAGTTTATATATTGTTCTAATCCTGTAAGATCAAGCAAGCAATCATGAATGAGTTCCTCTAGTGTCTGTATAGCAGATTTATGGGATATAATTATTGTATCATCGGACACATCTCTTCGCAACGGTATGTTTTTAAGACATAGTAAATCCCTACCTCGATAGGAAAAGAGCTAAAATGTATGTTCCTCGTTTTAGAACGAATGATATTTCTTTGTTTACCAAACAGGATTAGACGGAGATTTAGGTTTGAAACTTGATTGTCAACCACCATCCCATCATTCTATTAAACATTGAAAAGTGATACAATCAAGCTACTTTTACATAATTTTTTGCACCAGCAGTTTATAATTTCACTAAAACACCAAAGCATACCAGCTGTTTTTTATGATTCTTATGTTCAAAAACTAAATCTTATGAGCGCAAAAGTGTTAATCTTATAATGCTATTTATTCTGTATGATTTATATGGCCTTTTCCTTAATTGCATGGAACTTCAAATTTCAAACAACGCTTCTGAGAGCATAAGTGACTTATTTCAAAGAGATTTTTTAAAAGTTACTGATTATAACTATATAATTTAAAAAAACAAATTTATTCAATATGTTCAACTATCTCAATGGTATGTACGATGATTTTTTGAACTAGTATCCACTATTCAGCTTTTCTTATTTTACCGCTGGAATCTGATATAACTCAGAAAACTGAGATGCTAATCAGGAATGTATTATCCTGGACAACAGAAATCGATAAGAAATAGGATTGCTCCCAAGTAGTGAAATAATGTCTCGCTTGGTTGCAATGATATCATAGGACCAAAACTAAACTGACTTCAAAGGATTATTAATTAATATAATTACAACTTTTAGCATACATTTTTAACCAACATAGAAGTAAAATGAAAAATGGTTTGACGGTTTATGCAGATTGGTGAAACAACGGAATGACTTGTACAGTAGGCTTATTCAGAACATGTAATAACATGAATATGGAATATATAAACTTTTACATCATCGATTAGCAGTCTAATATGTTGATACAATTTTGTCACCTACAGAAATCCCGGCGGTTCTACTTAACAAGATGAACGGAATGGCAAGTCTAGCACACGAGTACACTTAAATTACAAGAATTAAGCCAACAATTTTGCTTGTACATATAGATGTTCCTTGCCCTTACAGTTATTCCGCTCATTTTTCCTGGTTCCGATAATTGAATATTTTGCTATTTACACGTATTTATTTTAAGATCACCGCATTGACTCCGCATGAATACACTCATACGAAACGTAAAACTTGATTTAAAACATTGTAGTAGGTCATAGTCAAAAACATGTTTTAGACTTATAAATAAATTACATGGATACACGATAAAGAATTACAAAAACTCTTAAAAGTTACACATACTTGTGAATGGTAAAAAATTCGTCAGTAATAGTGAAGAAATAATTTCTCCACACAAAAACTTCTACTATATTTGGTGATAATTGAAGTGGTGCACGATGAGATACACCATTAGCATCGACAATAATACCCAATGATCCTGGACCAGAAACAATAAATTCATTCTGCAAGTATTGAATTTTTATAAGAATATATTAGTGTTCTAACAAACCTGAGTAAAATAGACTATGTAATTTCGTACTGGTTCTTTTACTGAACGCAATAACTCTGTAGTACTGTTTGTACGTAAATTTATTGATATGTAACTACTGTCCGATGCAACACATAAAAATTGTGGTGAGATGCACTAAAACAAAAGTCACTAAATCAAGTAAAAATAGTATGAATTTACAAGAGACTGTGAAACTTCTGTTAACCTGGTTTCAAAAACAAGCATACATGTTGATACAAAAATATGATGTAGTTGGATTAAACCCGATTTAAATCCTATGCACAGCTAAATTAGCGTAATAATTATACACATCACTAATTCGAATTTGAAAATGATTAAAATACCTTCTCTTTTTCATCATCGAAAGAGCACAAATGGAATGATGAAACGCCTTTGAAAGATGGAATAAAATTCATGATCTAGAAACAATAAAACAGGTTTTACAAAATCTATTTCCATACCTCAAGTTTTTCCGCGTTACATAAGGTAAGATTTTCATCGCTGAAAATAGAAAGTGTTGTTTTTTTGGAAGAAGTTTCAAGCCTTGAAATAGGTTTAGTCTGATTAGGTTAACATATAAAAAAATCAGAGATTTACAAATATTCTCCTTGATAGAACATTACTGAAACAAAATGATGTTTTATTGTCATACAACTCTTGAATAATCAATTGAGATACTAAACTTTAGTCATGATAGAAAACAGCCATACTGAACAACATACCCCTTGCTTGTTCCAATAAATAGTAAGTCTGAAAATGAACACATGGCTGTTATCTATGAAAGGATACAAGGTAACATAGTTGTCACAAAAATACCTCCACTTCAGTTTCCATAGCAGTACATGAACTTGGATGTAATTGAAATAACGAATACTTTGTGTTCTCCGGTTCAATTTTATTGACGTAGTCATTCATCATCAGGTAGGATAATTGTTGAACGTAGAAATGTCAGTGTCTGAAAATGACAGAAAATAAACGTATTTGAAGCAACTACATGAACACATTCATACAGTGACAACATTCATATAAAAACACCTCACAATCAGACAAAAAGGACATTGTGAAGCCCCATACTACCTGCCATACTGCCAATTTTAAAAAAAATATGATAGAAAATAGATAAAAATGAAAACGAAATTCGAGGAAGCTAATATCTAAAATATCACGAATTTCAACACTCGAAGTTCACACTTACAATAGGTTCATATGAACCTATCGAAATTCTATGCCCAATTACAGAACTTATCCAGAGGTATTTCATGCTCAGGAACAACGGCAAAACCTAAATATCACACGGAAAGCACTGTACATTTATTTTACAGCAAACAGCACTTGGATATCATCTACAAGAGTTTATCTTCACACAACTTTACAGAAGTGTAGCTGAATGATTTATCATGGTGGTTCCGTTTATACATACTTGCAAGCGTACCACCATAATAGATATACAGAGCATTTCAAGAAATGTCAGTCAGTCAGCTACAACGTAGGATCAGGCACATATATGCATCAGTCCAAGTTGCCATACCTCATTAACACAACAAGATGGACACCGGATTCATAAAAGTAGTTAATTCAGAGGTGGTAATATATAAAAGAAAGATTGCAATAAGGATATAGTACAGGAAGAAAGAATTAGTTCGTAGAAAGAAAGATATGGAGCGATTTTAATCTCTTAGTTTAAGGGAAGACAGAGAGTGTATACACCGACGCCATTGTGATCGATTCTGAGCCACGTCACCAAGAGTCTCCAACCATTGGTTACGATAGTCACGCGTACCCCAACCAAGTAGTCTGCATCTACCAACATGGCTCAGATTAGAAGTTAGTGACTTCAAGCACTGATGCCACGTTTTGGTTTGGCCGCCCCTATATTTCTTCCAACCATCCTGAACACCGGTTAGCATTGCACGTCGTGGTAATCGGTGTTCGGGCATAAGTAACACGTGGCCCAACCATCTCAGTCGATGAAGATTCACAACCTTATCAACAGATTTACCATCATCTCCTAATACCCTGCGTCTAACCTCACTATTACTTACCCGGTGATCCCAGCAGACTCCAGCAATATTTCTGAGGCATCTGTGGTCAAATACTAGTAGCTTACGAGTGTCTTCTACTCTTAATGGGCATGTTTCACTGCCGTAAATTAAAACAGAACGGACTGCCGCGCAGTATACTCGTCCTTTTATTGATAGACGGATATCGCGCCTTCTCCATAGGTGACGTTGTTGCTACCTTGACGTGGTGGTCGGGCTTGCCTATCGTGATGAAGCAACCGAGCTATACTGGCTGGAACAACTGTTCCTCAAGGTCCTACCACGTCAGAAAGGTCAGTTGAAGAGCGGTAAGACTAAAAGCAACAAACCCAAGGTCCGAAGGCGAAGTCGTACTGCTGACTGTACAGAGGTGTGACAGCAGTAAGGTGTTTCCTTCAGACAACCAGCATGACAGCGATGCTGCCTTCCCACAAGGAGGGGTGAGGTTAGAAAAGGTCGACCCTAAAAATGCACACCTCGCCTTATCTCACGGATATCCGTCTCCGGCGGTAGGGTCTCAACAAGTACGGAGCTAACACAAAAATTACCCATGAATAGGTCGTATGACCGACCTCAGGCAGTTGTCCCTTGGGCACTGCGGTCACGCTCTCAGGTCACTAAGACCACCTGTAATCCAATTTCCTTTTCAGGTACCTCCAGAACAACCCTTCCATGGTGTGGGCAACCGGGAAGTGATAATCTAAAAACAACATAGTTTCTTCGTAATCTTAGAAAAAAACAGGAGACGTTTAGACAGTTATGAGCCTCTCCCAGCACTACAAGTAAGAATCGACCAGTAGGATATAAAATGTTTAAACCAATGAAAGGTTAATGACGACGTGTTTTTAAAAGGCATAGCATTCACGCGTGTACACATCTATACCAAAATAATAGTTTACTAATCATGAAACAAAACATTTTGGGCAATATCTCCAAAGTTTAGGGTTTTCTCTAATATGTCTCCAGAAGTTTCGGCAACTTTGGGGAAATCCATCTACGTTTAGTGATTAAACCCCAGTATTTTCTTCGCATTTAGGGGATATTCTGCACGATTTTCGGTTCTCCCCAATACCGTCGAAGTAGATGGAAGTGGTGGTTAGAACACCTATTTTTGAGGAACTACTTTATGAGCATGTACTCAGTAGATACTTACTTAGCTATTGGGGAAAAGTTCCCAGTCAAAATATTGGCAACTGGAAACTCAACTGTGACACATGCAGCTTTGAGAAAATGCACAGTATTGCATCATTGTATTAAGTTGTCATCACTTTGAAATCATTGCTTTCAGATGATTATCTGATAACTGAGGGATTGAAAGTATCATTCACTGAAGTACTCGGTTACACAAGCACAATTGCACTTGAGGATGACACGCTGACATGTAGAACAGAGAAGTCAAAGAGGTGAATTGATGAGCTTACACAATCCATTCATTGTCAGAGTTGTCAAACGCAAAATGAAAAACTACTTGTGCACCTCTGAAGAACTAGAGGTTACTGAAATGGAAGCTGCGTATGTCGCAGTTGAGTTTCCAGTTGCCAACATTTTGACTGGGGACTTTTCCCCAATAGTTAAGTAGGTATCTATTGAGTACATGCTTATAAAGTAGTTCCTCGAAAACAGAAGTGTTCTCACCACCGCCTCCATCTACTTCAACGGCAGTTAGTAACCCGTAAGTTGGGGTAATTGCAAACATAATGAGAGTAAAATATTGAAAGTGATTCTGAAAGAAGTCAACGAACTATCTACCAAGATGGACAAACTGACTGCTTACATCAAAAGCTCATACATGGATGTGAAGGACAGTTACAGCAATAGCCTAGACACTTCGAGTTGCGCGTTTCCATTGAAACCATCTGAGGAAATGCGTACTGTTAAAGCTGCTTTGGAGGAACAAAAGTTCCGTGACCCGTTCGTAAGTTGTGACAGCTGTTTATGAAATTTCAGGTGACCAGATTGTCCGCAATCGTGTGTGATCTTCGGAAGTCAATCAAAGCGTGTCTGTATTACGTGCTGACACCGGAACTGGTAATTACTTATACCTTACGTGGGACTAAGAATAAAATAAATATAAATAACTACATATTCTACAGAACGATTTAAAGTACGTTCACATCACAGTCTTAATATATTTATAGATGTTCACGGTTTTGAAGTGCAACCTGTCCAGAGAAAGAAATAACACAAGTAAGGCTTTCTTGCACGACGCGAGAGATAAATTTAATAAGCGTGGATGGCGATCCAAAGAAAGGGTGAGCCAAATGTTCTTTTAATCTGTAATTGAATATCTGTTTCTGATTGTTTATTAGTTTCTAACACATATTTATACTGAAGTAACTATTTGCTGTATATTTTCAGCTGGCTTCGCAAGTGCTCACAGACCTAGCTGTAAACTTTTAGTTCAGCAAACATTATTATTACCACTAGTACGTAATCAACCTTTCACATGGTATTATGGATTCATATCTGGGATGTTTGCTATGACATAGAGCAATCGTTTGTCTACTATTGGCAATTTGGCTGTTTTGATACTGCGTTTGTAATGCAAAAGAGTAACGTTCCTCTTATTTTTGTAGAGCACTGTGGACGACAGTTTAACATCAACCCGATGTACCAAACCGAGGCGCAATTGCAATTGTGTCAGGATTCGAAGACATTAGTTATGGACGTACAGTTTATTTGTACATTTTTAAAACCTCAATAAACAATTTTATTTATAACGCATAAGTCCTTCAACTACGGAAATGCTTATTTGCCGCGACAGACCAGTTCTTGTTGCCGTGGTTTAATTGCTCTGAAACTGCGTTTAATTTGCGAAGTTAACTGAAGAAAAGAATTGAGTAGGTGTGTATCAACTTGTGGGTACTTGTTAATAAGTTGGTAGACTTTCCTGAACAATAGGTAATCTAGGGGTTTTTTCTAATAAGGTATTGGGAAGAACCGAAAATCGTGCAAAATATCCCCTAAATGCGGAAAACTATTGGGGTGTGGTAACTAAACGTAGATGGATTTCCACAACGTTGCCAAAACTTCCGGAGATATACTGGCGAAAATCCGAAGTTGTGGAAATTCCTCAAAATGTAAAAATAAAATATGGGGTTTTAACGACGAATATGGATGCATTACTGCACGGTAACGGGTCTTCCCCAGACCTGGGAAAATTTTGGGTTTTGTGCCATCGTCTCAAACCATTTCTATTACGGCTTACCAAATATTTCCTCAAAAGGCACATGTTTCTCTCACAATATGGACATTATGTTGTCATTGGGCCAATAGTGACAGTTCCCTCGAAATTTCCGCAAATTAATTTGGAGGCTAAAATGTACAGGAACAGACTATTTTCGACCTAAATCAGACGAGAGAACTTAAATGACAAGAAGCTATGTAGCAGGTCCATTTACTAACTTATCAGAGATACCAAGTATATTAGTGTTTCCCTATGACACTGAAATTCTCTCTGACATCCTGAAAATCGAAAGTCGCAATAGATGTACATTCTTTTTACCAGACCTGCAGCCTGTGAGGCAAGTATAGCACGATCGAAATCCACAAACGAAATTAAAAACTGACAACGATTACAACGTACTTAGTATTACAGTAGTAGAGCAAGCCATAACGTAACGCTACATTCATAACGTTGTTTCACTTTGAAAATAAGTCAAATGGATCTGGATGGAATAAAAGAAGCTTTAGATTAACGGGCTTTCTTATCTGGTAGCAGTGGATCAACGATTCCTTCAGTCAGGAACCTAGGTATATTCAATGATAGAAAGCAAAATAAAAGTAAGTTATAAAGAGATACTATCTTTATTCCTAAAGAATATGTTAAGTCTTAAGTAACATATTTCTACCAGAGAAGATACTGGACTCCTAGAAAGT